GTATTTTTTCACATAGTTGTCAATAGTCTGCAATTATTTTGAGAAATATTTGACCACTTATCCACTGGGAAATAGCTTTTGACCTTTTTTGTTAGAAATCTATGTATCTTGGATATCAGTCCTTTATACTTGATATAAAGATATTTTTTTCCTAGTGAACCACTTTCCTTATCTTAGCTGCATTAATTTTGTTCCTTCAACAACTTCTTAATTTCAAGTAATGAAAGTTACTTGTTTTATCTCTTATAATTGTCTCTATTCCTTGTTTTGTTAAGCAAAGACGCCTATTATCACCACTACTATTTAACACTGTCCTTAACTAGAAGAAAAAATTGAGGGAAGAAGCACAGGCAAAGAGAGAAAGGGGGAAGGAGGAAAAGGAAGGAGACAGAGAAGAGGGGGAAGAAGAAAAGGAAGGAATAGAAGAAGGAAAAAGCTCTATTAAGCACCTACTACAAGCCAGGCACTGTGTGGAGCATTTTACGAACATTTATTTCATTTGGTCCTCACAATAATCCTGGGAGGCAGGTGCTAATATTACCCAATTTTACAGCTAAGGAAACTGAGGCAAACAGCAGTTAAGTGACTTGCCCAGGGTCACAAAACCAGTAAGAGTCTGAGGTCAGAAGTGAACTTGGATCTTCCTGAATCCAGGTCCATCACTTATCCACTCAGGAAAACAAAATGATCACTTTTCACAGATGACATAATTTATTTAGAAAACCCTAGTTAATGAAAAAAGTGTATTGAAACAATAAATTTAGCAAAGTTGCAGGATCAAAAACAAGTACACAAAAATTCTCATCATTCCTTTACATGAGCTACTCTTGTTTCATTAAGAATTCATCCCCCACCCATGGGTGTGAATGTGCCTTCTCTTCCAAGTTATTTTTATCTTATGATCTTTAATATTCAGGTCACAGATTCATTTTGAACTGATTGTGTAATATGATATAAGTAATTGCTCTCAATCTAACTTCTGCCAGACTGCTTTCCAGTTTTCTCAGCAGTTCTTATCAACTACAGAGCTCTTTACCAGGTAATTTACTTCAGAGGTCTATTGAACACTGGGTTTGGTTTCATTATTTCTGAGTCTTCCTGAAACTAGTCTTTTCCATTGATCTTTATCTCCCTATTTTTTTTAACCAATACTAAATGATCTTGATGATTTCTGCTATCTAATATAATCTGAGGCCTGAAAGTTCTAACCCTTCTTCATTCCTACTTTCTTTTATTATTTCCCTTAAAATTCTATATTTTTTCCTCTAAATAAAATTTGCTATTTTGTCGAGCGATATAAACTATTTTTTTTTGGTAGTCTGACTGGCACAGCCCTAAGTCTACAAATAAGTTTTGGTAGTATTTTCATTTTTGTTATATTGGCACAGCCCAGCCATGACCACTGGACTATTCCTCTAGCTATTAAAGTGTTCTTTATTTCTTTAAGGAATATTTGGTAATGTATCTATGACTCCCAAATATTCTATGCATTTTGTAATTACTTTGAATAGGAATTCCTTTTCTATCACTGATGAAGCATATTTTTCAACTATGACAGTTGAACTTAGAATCAAACCTTCAAACAGCTTTATCACAAAGTACTTAAAAATAAGATTTTTAAAACAAATGAGCCATATTCAATCACAATGCTTTTACTGCTACCATTAATAAAATTGCTTTAGAATTTTATTTTTTATTTTTAATCCTTTTTATATTGTTTTTTGTGTATGTTTTATAATGCACACGACATACCAGTATAGTAACACATGCACCTAATTTATATAAATAACTATAAACATATGTGGAGGAGTGTGTTCAAAATTTTTTTACTTAACAGAACAGCTGATGTACAATTTTAAAAGTCTGGAGACTACTGCTTGAGTGGAGGGCCCTCAGATCTACTAGTGACCTTGGGCTACTTAATAATGGTTTACATGAAGGAACAGATGGGGATGCTTATCACAGCTGCAGGTGATACAAAGCTGGAAGAGAAACTCAACACATCACGTGATGGGTGAGGTACAAAGGAAAAATCCTTGCCAGGCATGAATGGTGGATTCTACCTGCTAACACTGAAATTACAGAGTTTTAAAAAGATTAATTTTCAAGTACAAACGGGAGCTCACTGGAAAAAGGGACAAGGGGCTAGAGACCTGCAAAAGCGCACAGTGGCAATCCAAACAGGCTGCGTGCAGAGAGGGGGTCTGTAGGGCAAGGAAGAGCATGGCTCTGCAGGAATGTCCCCTAAACAAGAGTAGGCCTAGCATGCCGTTTAATTCTGGAGACATTTTAGGAGGAAAACCAATAAGGTAGAGAAGAGTGACAAGAAGGCAGGCAGCCAGGATGGCGAAGCAGCCCAGCATCGTGCCAAGTAAGGATCCGGCAAAGAGCTGTGGATGTTTAGATTACAGAAGACACGGCAGAGGGGCTACGTGACAACTGTATTTAAATAACGGAAGGGCAATGACGCAGATGGAGGATCACCACCAGCCTGTTACCGCGTTTCTCAAGCGGGAGGGAAAGGCACCTTCTAACTGAGAAGCAAAGTTGGGGTAATTTTGAGAGCCATCAAAAATATAATTAAAATCTAAGAAGATGACAGAAAGCACTGGGTAGGAGCAGAACTCATTCCTGAGTGTGACAAGCAGGAAGACAAGGTCATAATAGTGTTGACTTAAGATGAGGAATAGGGGAAATACCGCAAGATAAAGAAGGATCTGAGGAAAGCAGGAGTGGTTCCAAAACCAGGCTTTCATAATTTCACAATGAATTAATGAACCAGCCTATTTATTCCTCCTTCCAATCAATTCTCCACAAAACTGATTAATTTTCCCAAAATATTGATTTCATCACAGGATTTCCTCACTCAAAACCTGACATTTCCCTCACTCCTCTTGGAAGGCATCCAAAGGCTTCCCTAAATCACCTCTCATCCCAGTGAGGTTGCTCTACTGCCTGGCCCACCTCATAGTCTGCCTACACGAATCCAAAAAGGGCCTCGGCACTTTGTACCTATGTCTAGATAAATGATCTCTTGATCACCTGATTTAATGAATATATATTGTATGCATCTTTTTCAAGGCACTCAGGAGACAATAAGAAAAAAGGGAACAATCTCTGAGCTCTCAGACCTTTCATTCTGCTACAAGGAGACAACAGGAAAACAGATAAAGAGTTTGAAACCAGAAAGAACATATATAGCCCGGAGAGTTTTGCTACTGGGGAGGAGATCTAACTCAAGCTTCGTATACATGATACCTGAAGAGAAAAGCAGGCAGAGACAGGGGACTGAAGTTGAAGAGAGATTTTAGGAAAGGCTCTGTGGATCTGGCAGGTAGCTGTATTATCATGACAACAATGAGCAGTAATGAAATCACCAAAGATAAGAGTGTAGAGTGAAAAAAGAAGTGACAGCTGAGGTCTCAATACTATGTGATCTTCCAGAAGAGAGAATAGCAAAAGAATGAAGACAGAGCCCTGAAGGGACACTCAAAATTGGTGGAAAATGGTGTGGAGGACAAAGGGGACAATAAAAACCCAGAGGTGAGACAATTCAAGAGGTGGGAGAACCAGTACAGGAGAAAGCTGAGGAGGGAAATCAGATGGTCCCAGGGTGCAACTTAGACAGTCTAAGGTCTTCTTGCCTAATCCAAGGCCAAGTAAGAATCCCCGCTAAGACAGACTTGACAAGCAGCCACAAAAGGGAATACACTGAATCTGCCATCAGCCCTTTTCTTTCACAGAGCTGGCTGCTGGCAGATGTGCCTTGCATCTAGCTCATGCCTTGTCAATGCCCAAGACCTTGAGCTCCACGACACCGCCGATGAGCGCCCATCCTGCTTCCACTTCCAGACTTCCGTTGAGGAAGGCATTCCACCTGCAGAAAGTTCTGATCTGCCTCATTCTTCATTCAGAGACCAAGCAGCTCTGCTTCCACATGACAGCCTTTTCAAATACTTGGAGAGAGCCATCATATCCCCTCCAAATTCCTCTCTTCCTCAGGCTAAACAAAGCCATCTATGTCAGCCAGTCCTAGGATGACATGGGCTCCATTCCTCTTGCCATCCTACTCACCTTTCTGAATATGCTCCAGCATGTCTAATTCTTTTCTAAATTATGGCACACTGGACAGAGGGACTACCACCAAATCTCAGCACTGGAAGGGGTCCCAGAAGATAGCAAGTGAAATCTGTACCCAAATGAAAATACATCTGCACTGGTTACTACAAACTGAGATGCTGCAAACAGGTAAAAGATGATTAAGATTGAAAAACAAGCCCTTGCATCTGGGTGGCAGGAGGAGACCGTTCAGACAAAAGGTGCTGGCCTATAAGAGGGAAAGTCCGAGGCTGAGCTCCTGTCACTGCTAACCAACTTACTACATGCAAATCAAGACCTCAATTTTCCCCTTTGCTTTCAGGCATACACATAGCAAAATGCACCAACACTCATTAATTCTTGGTGGGGAAATTCTCATTACTGACTTAAGTAACAGGGATCAGGTAACTCCATAATTTTCAACCCCCCCACAACAAGCTCTTCCCTGTTGCTGAAACTGAGATGCAGAACAGAGTTTCCCTGTGCTGATTTGTAAAGTGAGAACTGTCTTTATTTGTAGGCTTTGACAGTGGGCAGAGATGAACTGCAAGGCAGACAAAATATATCCGAGAGTAGAAAGAAAGGAATCTTTGAAAAGGGAGTGAAGGAAAAAGAAGAGAGAAAACAATCCTAAGGAGGGAGAAGAAAGGATGGGATTCAGGACAGGGGGAAGGGGAGGATCCCTTTAACAGAAGGAAGAATGCCTCTTTCTCTAAGACTGGATGGAATGAGGACAGAGAGACCAGGAGGGGACCATCAGAAATAGCTCCAAGGAGACACTGGCCACCTTCTCCAGGGTCTGAAGCAGAGGCTGCGGCCCAACACTCCAAGGTAATCTGCCCTTACTGAGCAGCTGGGCTGATGCTCGCAATCCTGCCACCTGTCTGGTTTTCCTCACTCACCTGTGTAAGTGTTTCCTGGGATGACTTCTCCTTCAGGTGGCCCTGGTTCTTCTGTCTTCTCCAATGGGAAATCACATCTTCTTTGGAATCTGGAAGCCCTGCTCACGGGGAAATAATTGGAGAAGTGCTGAGGAGAGAAAACCATCTGAGAAGTCAACCTGAGCCTCTTTCTCTTTAAGAAATAAATAGATGGCATAACAGGAAGGACCTTGGAAGGCTACTTACTCTGCTTTGTGGTCCTATCAAGTTGGGGAGAGGGGAGTGGAATGAAAGGGCTTGATTTAGGTTCAAAGAAAACACATTCATTTTAACACACTCTCTCCTAAGAGAACAGACATGTTTCCTGTCTTCAAGGACCTGGGACTTGAGTGCAGAGTCTCTGACCTGGATGAACAGAGGGTTGGGAAGCTAGAGCCACCTGAAGCAGCACGGTCAGGTTGCTGATTTCCAGTACAAGCCAAAGACCTCCCACAGGGATGAGGCAGCAGAAGCACTGCCTCTTATCATCAAAGGATTTAGGAATTTTTCCAAAGAATGTGCACATATCAGAACACCCGTGCACACCGAACAGAAACACAGGCCTTCAGACATCTCACAACACAAAGACATAGTGAGGGCCAGATGACTGATCCTTACCCAGGGACACAAAGTTCTCATAGCTCTCCAGCATCACGTCCCTGAACAGGTCCTTCTGAGCTGGCTCCAGCAGCCCCCATTCCTCCCGGGTGAAGTCCACTGCCACGTCTTGGAACGTCAGCAATTTCTGAAACATCCAAAAACAGGTATACTCAACCAGAGACCCCTGAGTGGTTCCCAAAGCATTTTAAGGGGATGGTGTACTCCATGTCAAGCACCGCTTAGCAATCTTCTTACTAGCTTTCTCACTTCATTCTGGATTCTGTATATTGTAAATAATTAATTTTATTGCTCAAGGTCAGACATATAAATCATTTCCTGTACTAACCCCCAAGGGAAGCAAATTTGTTACTCTTCAAAATCAATCCTTTCTAATTAGGTGCATCCCATCAATCACTCACCCTTGCTGGCTGCAACACTGGAAACAGGCTTACCAAAAAGGCAGCCCAGAAGTGGATTAATGGGGTCCCAGTCCTTTCCTCACTCTCTGCACTCACAAATATAACCCAGCACCCTCGTAATAAGTTTCTTCCTTTGTTTTCAGGCATGTACACAGCCAAATCCACCAACATTCATTGATGTTTGGTGAGGAATTGTGCGTGACTGACTGGAGTGATGGGGAAGGGATCAGGCAATTCTCTAATTTCCAACCCCACAAAAGCTCTTCCCTACTGGGGAGACTGAGATTCAGAACAGAATTTCCCTGTGTTGATTCCTCTGACTTAAAGAATGAAATAATAATTGAGGCAAATCAAGAAATGATTGTGCTCTGCTTCTGGCAGAGAGAGCCCAGCAGAAGGGGCAGAAGAAGCCCAACACCACGCCTTTGTTCCAAGCTGGCAATCCTTCCCTCACTTCCCTTTGGTCAGGTGGTCTCCCACTGTTTCTGTGTCCACTGTTGGATCCCCAGCTTCTGTGCCACCCTGTCCCAGGGGAGCTCTCGGACTCTTCTGCTCAGTGCGTGCTGCTACTCACCCCATCCTTTCCTGTTTATCTGAATAAGGCAGGCCCTCTACCGACACCTTCAGATCACTGTCTGGGGGGCTCACACAGCTAGTGGGCACCTCACACACATGCCCCTCCTATGTGTGTCCACTGTGCCTTCCACCGACCTCTACCACCTGTGAAGGGAAATCCTCCTCCACCTTTTCCCCTGAATAGAGGCTGGGCTTTCTTGGACCTGCCCCTGACCACTCCCTCTGGCCTCTCCCTCTCATGAGCCACTTCTTCAATATAACAGCATGCCATCCCCAGTGCAGAGACTGCCTGCAATCAGAGCACTACCCCTGCACGCCTCTGATACCCGTGACACTTGGGCCTATCTGGCTCCTATCCATGCCCTTCCCTGGGGGGGGGAGGGGGAGGAAGGGAAATGGCTGCCAGCACTAGGAGAGCCCTTCCCCATCCCAAAACTCACCAGGGCTAGCAGGATAACACTGTTCCTCCCAGAGGCAGTTACTCTACTGCCTCCCCACTTCCTTTAGCCAAGGCTTGTCACCCCCTGGCAGGCCCTCAGTGGTCTGGGCTGAGCCCTTGGCAGATGAACCCCTGGAGAGCAGGGGCCCTCTAACTTGTCCTACTCAGTACTAGAGACACAGTCGGCACTTAATAAATGCTCGTTCACTGAGATGCTGATGCTCTACCTGACATCCCAGCTCCTGACTTTCCCTTTGCTTTCACTCCTAAATCAGCAACACTGCCTGGAGCTCACGCTGGTATCTCACTGCGTCTCTCTCGAGCGCACTATCTTGCCCATAGTATTTGTTCAGTCATTTTTCAGTCGTGTCCGACTCTTCATGACCCCATTTGGGGTATTCTTGGCAGAGGTACTACAGTGATTTGCCATTTCCTTCTGTAGCTCATTTTACAGATGAGGAAACCGAGTCAAACAGCATTAAGTCACTTGCACAGAGTCACAAAGCTAGGCACATCTGGGGCCAGATTTGAACTCTCTAAGATGAGTCTTCCTGACTCCAGGCCCAGCATTCTATACTCTGAGCCACCTAGCTGTCCATAAGGGGCACTCAATAAACGTGGACTGAATTGGACATCTCAAACACGGTGGCCCAAATTTCTAAACATAAACTCCTCATCAATCCCCTTACTTCCCAACAGTTACTGGACCTGTGATGTAATATTGAAAACATTACTAATCGCAATATGACAGAGAAGGAAGATTACCAGGATTAATGCAGGAAACGAAGAGGTCAAACTGTCGTGTACAGACCGCACAAAATCATCCTTGGCAGTCTCAACAGGCTTGTGATCCCATTAATGGGGGTTCTTCCTCCAACAGCGCATGCAGTCAATTAACAAACACATATTAAATACCTACTAAGCACCAGGCTTCTTAAATGATTCATCTGTGATCCCTGCCTAGACCTCTCCCTAAATCCTGCCCACACCAGAAGCCTTCTCCCAGCTCTTCATCATGGCACAAGCACTAGTTACACATTCAGCCTATCTAACTGTCTTCCCTCACTCTTGCTCATGATTGGCCCAGCTCCTCCTCTCACCCTATTTCTATTTGAAGATAGCCTTGTTTCTCAGCATGGCAAGGAAATTCAAATCAAGCTATTTCTGGGCTCTTTACCCTCCTCTCTGGGGTGACAGCTCTGCAACTGCTGATATTCTGTAGGAAAAGGTGACAGCCATGTCGCTGTCCTTTCTTTTACTCATTTCCCATTTTTAACACCTAAATCTTTTCTGAATTGGAGATACTGTAATTAATCTAATTATATATTATCTTCCATTTTAACATGATAGTATGGGTGACACCAGATTCATGGCATGAAAATTAACCCTGAAAATCCAACCTTCTCAATAAAAAACTAAGATTAGCATAGCAGGATATTAGCTATACACACAAAAATAATTTGCAGTTGTATATATGCAAAATAAAGATTGAGAAAAGATCTGTTTTTAAAAATTTTCATGTAGAATTTATAAAAAAAGGTAACTGAGGTAGACTTTAAAACACTACAAAAAGCTATCAAAACTACCTGGTCATACAGAAAAACAGATTTGAAGAGTGAACTCAGAACTGAAGTAAATACATAGAGTTACTGCTTTAAGGTATAAGTTAACCTGGGGACATGCTATTTTCCCTGTATTCCTACATCTGTCATGATTTCCTTCGATGCTCTAGAACTTCTGCTCCTCCAAATGGACTTGGTGTGGTTAGGTCTAGCACTGGCTCTGTCAGGTGACTTAGAGAGAACCGTTGTCACATTTTATCACATTGTCACACCAACTGCCATATTTATCATAGTATACAGCCCAGGCATGGGCAATGACTATCCTGCCAATTATTTCATTTGTTCTTTATTTCTTTATGGTGCACTATGTAATTTTATCAATATAGTGAATATTATGGTGCTGGGGAATGAGGAAGCTGTGTGTTCAATTATTTGTTAATGAAGAAAAAAAAGAAAAGCAAACAACAGAAATGTCCAAAAGTAGGGAATCACTGAATAATTTTTAATATATTAATGTTTTATAACACTGTTATAGAGCTAAAATTGAAAATTTTAAAAGAATAATAAGGAATTTGGAAAGATGACTGTAAAATGAAGACTGCAGAGCCAGATGGGCAGAGCAGACCCTGAATATGATTATGTAAAAGCTAAAGAATATACATAAATATACAGCAATGAGAATGACTTATTATCATCAATATTTTAAATAGTGAAACTCACATAGTTCAAATGTACATTACTATACTGTTTACATGGTATTGTAAATGTTTTAGGTTTTGTCTATAATAAATTATACAAAATATTGCTGTATTGTGAATTTGATGAAAGCAATTAAAGAGGGAGGGAATCACTGCTTAATATTGATGGGGAAAGTGGATGACTATAGCGAGAAAAATTAAACTTAGAAACACACTTCCTACCATGCCATGAGTTCATCTCATATAAAATCTTTTTTTGTTGTTTGTATACTGAAATATTTGTGTTAGTTGATGACTGATTGATTAATTAAGTGATTGATTAATAAAGTGTGTAGGTATGGGATAGTCTATGTCTGTGTCTGGGGAGCTTCTGGACAAACATGCTGTTAGCAGATTAGGAAGCAGAGAAAGACTCTGAATAATTAAACAACCTCCTAATTAAATCAGTATATGCTATAATACCCAGTCACCTCAATACAAAGGTGAATGTGGGAAGGATGGTGACAAATATGAGGGGAGGAGTAAAAAAAAAAAAGGACTGACTGATTTTAAGAAAATGATTTCCTAAGAGTGGCAGAAGTAACTACGGCCATGCTTAATGAAGCACCACGTTACATGACGTGGGTCCGAGTCCCTGATGACCTCTTATCTCATGTGGAATTTTCGCCTGTTGTCAAGCAATGCTGTAAATAAAACTCCAAAATGACTGGGCTGGAGACATGTCTACGGGTAGGAAGAGACTCAGTCAGTTTGGACACAACTCCCTCTAAACAGAACAATGTTTAGATCTAGATCAATCCACTAGTAACGAAAAGTTGTTTCTGGCAAGCTTGTACCTACAATACAGAGCACTAATTTTTTTCTTCAACAAAAAGTAATCTTCTTGAGTGAATGGACCGTCTTCGGACCCAAGTCCTCAGCACAGTGCCAGGAACATAGCGTGGACCTGATAAATGCTTTTTGCATCTATTCATCTAAACCAGGGGTGGAGGACCTGCAGCCTCAAGGCCACATGTGACCTTCTAGGGCCTCGGGTGAGGCCTTTTGACTGAGTCCAAATTTTACAGAACAAATCCTTTTATTAAGGGGATTTGTTCTTTGAAGTTTGGATTCAGTCAAAAGGCCACACCCAAGGCCCTAGAGGGTCACATGTGGCCTGAAGGCCAAAGGTTCCTCACCCCTGATCTAAACTCTACTGAGAATACTTTCAAGGAGCCCAAAGGAACTAGATCAATGCTCACTAATTAGCAGCCAGTCAATAAACATTTATTAAGTGCCTATTATGTGCCAGGCACGCCACACTAAGGTCTGGGATATAAAACCACAAAAAAAAGTTCGGTCTTTACAGGCAGAAAAAGATTGGTTATCGATTTTGGCGATGTTTAGAATCAGCCATCTGTTTACAGTCAGATTAGAAACTTACAGCAAAGATGAAATCAGTATCTAATTAAAAGACTAAATATAGAAATATGTAGCATTAAAACAACTTGAAACTTATGGAACAAATTATTTACACACACACACACACAAGAAAACTGATCAAAGGACACATACTGACACAGTCACTATATCCTAAAGAAAACAGCCCAATATAAATCCTGCACCTCAACAAGGACACCAAAAGACCTTATAAAACACCCAATTTCTTTGCCAAAGGCAGACAAAGCCCCACAGAAGAAGAGAGCAAGCAGCAAACCTTGTAAAATAAGGAGAAGGAAAGGAAAACATAAACCTTGGTGAGACGCAAGCACACCTCATGATCAGGCCTGTGACCTTCAGGTGTGGCTGTGGAGGACAAAGATGGCAGACTGCTCCCCTCTTCTTCTGCCCCCTCCTCCCTTCTGGAAAGAGCCGGAGTGCAATCCTCCCAACCCATAACTATTGCCTCCCATGGGGCTAGTTCAGGGCACGACCTCTGGTCACTGCCCTCCTCTCCCTGCCTCTTTCACCTCCTGGGAAGCTAGAAATTTCATCAGCCAATCTTGCCTTTAGCCTTGAAACAATAAAATGAATCAGGTCAATACAGCCTTCTTTCTCTGGCACTTTATGGAATTTAGGTTGGACAAAGGTATTAAAATCTCAATAGCTCACAGCCCCAGTTAGGAAAATTCCACACATCAAGCAGAAGTTCAAAACACGGCCCTATCTAAATTTCATGTATTTCCTGCTGACCTCAGGCTTACTCCACATCCCTTTGCTCAGCATGGACTAAGCATACAGACAGATATGTAGTGATCAACCTTTGTAATCAACCACGGATTTTTAAATGAAACAAAGTCAGAATAAAGGAAACAGCTCAAATTTTTTGTTTTAAAAGAGAGAATATAGCACAGAACATAACAGCTGTTATCAGACAGGACATGTTGGGGAAGCTTTCCTGGTCCACAGACCACATCTGGGAGCTCATCCAGATGTGTGCCTAGTCTCCACCTAACTTCTCTCTCTGCCTAATCACCCACCCCTCCTCTCACTGCCACTCCTCCTTCGGCACAGCTCACTGAGCTTCAGGTGGGGCCAACGATGCTGAGGATGGCGCTCCACCCCCAACTCTCGCTCTGCTCATGACCCAAAGACCACACGGACTTTCTTTCTCTCAGGGCTGGGGGGAGGGGACACTGGTCCCTCCGAACTCCCAATCCCACAATGCCACTAGACTTTGTCATTCATTGCATCCCTGGCACTTAGCACAGTTCGTGGCACACAGTAAGTGCCTAATCAAAGCCTGACCCGACTGGATATTTCTCACACCCCCACTAGAGTAACTCGTGGTGCCAGTAAAATGACAGAATGAATGGATTTTTGACAGGAAGGAGAAAGGGAGGTGAGGCAGGAGGCAAGTGGGGGATCTTTCCAAGCGGGTCCCACTGTACGATGGAAAGAGGAATCAGGGTCAAGACGTTCAGCGTCTCCAACTCGCGCGCTGACAAAGCACTTCTGCACCTCAGATTCCCCCAACATCCAACTGCCGGGCCAGGCTGTATGGCTCCTAAAAGACTAGGGCTGCAGAGATGTCGTCTGAGGGGAGGAGGAGCCTCAATCACTTTGGACACAACTTCTTCTACGCAGAACAAGGTTTAGAGCTGGTTCCATTCAATAGCAATGAAAAGTTGTTTCTGGCAAGCTTGTAGCTATAATACCAAGTACCAATTTTTTTAAATTCAAAGACGTAGAACTCAAGGAGTCCAGATGTAAGGAGGGCCAAAGGCAGTGAGGTGGTGCAGCGAATAGAGTGCTAGACTTGGCATCAGGTTCAAATCCTCCTGCAGATACCCACTACCTGTGTGACCAAGCTATGTGGCAAGTCACTTCAGCGCCCTCTGTCTCAGTATCCCCCTCTGTAAAATGGGGATAATAACAGCCCCTCCCTCTCAGGGCTGTTGTGAGGATTGACTGAGGCATATAACATGTACAAAGTGCTCTGCAGACTCTACAACTCTGTGGAAATGCCGGTAGTAGTAGTAGTAGTACCGTTGGTGGTGATGGCGGTGGCGGAGCGTGGAAGGGTCAGGTCACCGGATGGGGCTTGGTGAAGGCAACAAGAGGAAGGACTGGGGAAAGCACTGTGGCCCTGCTTAGGAAGGACGTGGAATTTCAAGACAGAGAAGAAACAAACCAAACTCACCTGAGACTTCGCTTTTAGGAACTCAGAAGCCATTCTCTCCTCCTCGTCGATCCTCACTTCTTGGCCAGAGTCCTGAGACGCCAGAACTAGAGGAGAAAAAAGTGAAGCAGAAGGTCAATGCCCTCTTGCTAAAGTCACCAGGCCAGGCATTCTTGCACAGATTCTGGGGGTTAGTCTACTAGCTGAAGCTCCAGGGTTTGACACACTGACCTCTTCGCAGCATCAGAAAGAACAGCATGAGACCCTGACCCCCTGCCTCAGTTCTCAGCACATCCCCAGGGCCAGAACTCTAGAGAGGGGAATTGGGAGGCAGGGGCTGACGTCGCACCACTCTGCTGCCCCACCACATTAACTCACTGGCCAAACGATTGGGAAGTAAGAAGTCCTCAACAAATGGGAACATAGGTTTGAACCTAAGATGATGAAACTGAATGGGGATAAGTGAAAAGTTTCATCCTTGGGTCCAAAGGCCGAAAGGCCAAGTGCAGCCAGATCACTGGTCCTGTGACAAAGGTTTGGTCATTTTTGTGGATTGCACGTTTGCTCAGCATGGACGGGGGGCTGTGGCAGCCAAAAGGCTCAGTCAACCTTAGCCTCTAGGAGGAGGAGCAGAATAGCCCGACCCTCGTCAGGGGATGATTCTTGGTCAAAATGTATCTGCGATGTTGTGTTCAGTTCTTGACAGCAAAGTTTAGGGAAAACATTGAGCAGATGGAGAATGCCCAGAGGAAACAGCCAGGTGACTAGCTTCTGAGACCCCTTCACTCACAGAGAAGGGTCAAATCAGAAGGGGAAAAATTCCAGGGCCTGCATCTAGTTAGCCTGGAAAGAGCAGCCAGCTGTGTTCCAGTATTTCTGGGTCTCCTGGCATTTGCTCTGCTTGACTCCAGGGCCAGAAGTACCAATAGTGGCTGGAAGGTGCAAAGAGGTCAATAACGTTTAAGGCTCTGGATCAGAGCACTGGGCAACATAGAACAAAAAGCCAAGGCTAAATGGACGAAATCAAAGGGACAAATGGGAATGGCTACATTTGGGGTAAAAAAAAAAACCCAACAGCATAAACTGGGGGAAACATCGGTTCATGTAGCAAAGATTTCATGGTCTTAGTGCACGTGAGCAAAGTATCGTGAAACAGTAAAAGGAAAAGGGGCCACAACCATTTGTGAGCTGATGAGTATCAGGGCTTTTGTTGTTTTCCTCAAAGTTTCTTCTGGAAAAAAAAAGCCAAAACAACAGTTCCTTTGTCTGGGCTCCCCCAGCTCACTGCCCAGCAAACTCTAGCTGAAGTGGGGTCAGCCGGGCCCAAAGGTCGCCCTTCCAGCCCCTCCCACACTGGGTGGGCTCCTCACCTCTCTCCTCCAACAACTGGTCCAAGCCCTTCATAGTTGCTCCCTTCTTGACCTTTTCCTAGATGCAGTGACTTCTATAAGTCTCCTCTCCCCACACAGGACCAGCAGATTCCTACACACACCAGCAGCTTCTTCTCCTCAGGGTCTACACTGATGTTCTGAAGAAGGGTCTCAGGACAAGTATGTTCCCACCCAGATGAATTCAGGCCTTTCAGGGAAATTCCCCGACGTCGTCACCATCTGGCAGGGCTGGGCCTCTGGGGCCCCACAGTGGACCCTCGTAGGCTTGACAAAATGCTGCTGGGGACAGAAGAAAAAGGAAGTCAGTAGCTTCAGTTACCCATTCAACCTGGGGGTCTAACTTGGATGGCCAAACCCCCCAGGCCTACAAATGGGGTCACAGTAAGTTTCACTGATCAATCTATAATACAAATCACACCCCATCTCACCCCACCCCCGACCCGCATGTTCCATATGCTGCAGCGTCACCAGAGCTTACACGCCCAAGACAAAGGTCAGCCCACCACTGATCCAGAACCACACAGACATAGTAAGTACTTAATGTGTGCCTTATCCACATGGACATTTCACAGACACAGGGACTGTCCCTGTGATTTCACTGGTACAGAGACTTCCAAGGTGAGGACATTCCCTCTTCTAAGGAGGATCAGAACTTTATATGCATCATATGGTCTTAGAGGATTACCCAGAGACACCCAGCCAGCACATGTCGGAGGCAGAACTGGAAGCCAGGGGCTCTGTCAGCATGACCACCACCTCTACGTAGACTACACTTGACTGTCTGTAGGGGATTATAAATACACTACTCTGATCCTTTGGGAACCTGTGACTTTTGGGGTGGTGGGCACACCCCCTGCAAGCCTGCAGATCACAAGCCCCCCAGAATTCAGTAGATGAGCTTGGAGCCGCTGTCCCTGAAAAGGGCACAAGACTTCAGCCAAGGAAGGGAGCCCAGGGGCTGCCTATGCCATCAGGGATTTGATAGCAAGACTCCTGTCTACCAGACAGCTGTTTGCTGGCTGACTTCAGGGACTTAGAAACATGAACCTAAAAGCGTCATTGGGTTACAAAGAAAAGCACTGACCACTCGACAATAAATAACATTCTTTATCAGTATTTGAATGGGACAGTGTCCGTAAGGTCTCCTCCAGATCTGAAATCCCAGGATAAGATAGATAGATAGACAAAGAGAGAGAGACAGAGAAAGAGAAAGACTGACAGACAGAAAGAGACAGATAGGGATATAGATTGATAGATGGAAAGATAGATACCTTTCATTTAGATATACACATATACACAAATATATGTATACCCACATATATAGGTGTATATATAGATATGCACACATATGTATACACACATATACAGGTGTGTATACAGATATGCACACATATATGTAAATATATTACACATATAGTGACTGGGACTAACACAGACATATGTCCAACATATAAATACTGATATACTGAATGCCCCCTCCTTCCAAAGCACCAAATGCCTGCGGACAGACAATAAAATGTATGATCTCCATACTTATGGGACAATATGGGAAAGTCAATGGACAAGGAGGAATACAACAGTCACCTCAAAAATACTCTATGAAGAAAAATATACGTAAGCGCAAATTAACTATTTAGTATGGAAATATTGCACTTCAATTTAATTCAAGTCCTCCTGTTATAATGGTCTTAGGTGCTGGGCATACAAAAATGACCCAGTACCTACTCTCAGGGAGGGGACATTCTACTCAGTCATGTAGGAAAAAGAACGCTGGCCAGGGAATGAAAAGATCTGTGACTGATTCAACTGTCCCCAAAATCAGCCAGGCAGGGCTGTGAATGGCTGATTACAGTCTGTCACCCAATCCATTCCCAAATCCTCTCCATGTGCGGGCAGAGGCTTCAAGAAGCCAAGGTCACATCTATATCTAATGAAGCATTAAAGACATCAGACTATGAATACTCACCAAAAGGTAAACTTACACATACATTGAGTACAGATGTGGACTTATGCATGTATACATATGCATATCTCATACACACTATCACTGTATAGCTGGTTACACACACACACACACACACTCTCTCTCTCTCTCTCTCTATATATATATATATATATATTCTCGAGATATATGTCTTGAGAGTTGTTATTTTGCTGGAAGATTTTATGTATGTATGTGTGTGCATATGTATCTAAATAAAAGCGTGTGGACATATATGTGCATGCACACATTAAATAATCTTCCAGAAGGTTCCAGCTTGGTTCAGCTCCCTCATGCAACAGTCCAGCAAAGATAAAAAAGGCATCAGATCAAAAAGTGGCTTAAATAAAACTCAAGAGAAATGCCAGTGAATTCCTTTCTCCCTTTAGTCCAGGATTACAGAGGGTGGTGAGAAGCCCGCAGAAATTTCAGTCATGGGAATGCAAGGAAGAACCTAAGCCAGGGTAATCTCAGTCCCTGCCCTGCCCTGGTCTCCACCCTGGTGCAGGCCCTCAGCCCCTTACCCCTGGATTACTGTGATAGCTGGGGGTGCGGAGGTGGGCCCCTGCCTCAGGTGTCTCCCCATCCAGTCCACCCTCCATGCAGCCACCAGTGACTTCCAAACGCTCAGGTCCAGCTATGTTACCCCTTCACTCCGTAAACTCCAGCAGCTATCTATCACCTCCAAAATCAAATAGAAAACGTTCTGTTTGACCCTTAAAGCCCTGCACAACCCAGCTGCCTCCCACCGTCCCAGTCTTGTTACACCTTATTCCCCAACACATACTCTGATCTAGTGACAAGGGCCTACCCGCTATTCCGTAAAACAAGACTCTCCATCTCCAGACTCCAGGCATTTGTACTGGCCGTTGCCCATCCCTGGAATGCTGTCCCTCCTGCTCTCCCTTCCAGGCTTCCCTGGCTTCTTCCTTCAGGTCCCAGCTACCACCCCATCAAGCCTTTCCAGACCCCCCTCCCTTAGCCGATCACTGCCACTCCATCCTGTCTTCCCACAGCCATTTGTACTTGGCCTTCTCCATCAGACTGTGCTCTCCCTGAGGGCAGGGCTGCCCCAGACTCTCTCAGCATCCCGGGCAGCCTTTCTCAGTATCCCTAGTAGCCTCTCTTTGCATCCTAGGCAGCCTCTCTCAGTATCCCTAGTAGCCTCTCTCAGCATCCTTAGTAGCCTCTCTTAGCATCCCAGGCAGCCTCTCTCCCCTAGTAGCCTCTCTTAGCATCCCTAGCAGCCTCTCTCAGCATCCCAGGCAGCCTCTCTCAGCATCCTGGCAGCCTCTCTCAGCTTCTCTGGTAGCCTCTGCATCCTGGGCAGCCCCTCTCAACATCCCGGGCAACGGAGTCTGCAAAGACCCGGAGCCCGGGGCTCGCGCTGGGTCAAGGTCCAGGCACGAAGCCCCGCCTCGGTCAGGGAGGGGCCGGACCCCAAAGAGCGGGGCGACCTTGTCCCCCCAAAGTCCATCCCGTCCTTTTTAAAAGAAACTACAACCGCCGGCTCGGTGAGTTTGCCAGGCTCACGATCAGAAATAAGTAAAAGGAAGTTTAATGTCAGACTGGCAGAGACGTGGCCCGGCCTGGGACCCGCAGGGTCCCCCCTCTCCCGCCGCCGCCAGGAAGCGCCCCAAAGTGACCCCGCACCGGCCCCCTCCCCCACCTCCCGCCCCGGTGGATGGGGGTGGGGGGAACCTCAGGTTCCCACGGCAGGTTTAAGGAGCGGCCCCCTCGAGCCTCGGGAAGCTAAGGATGGAGCGAGTGACGCAGATGAGGCCGGGCCTGCGAGGATTCTCCCGGCGACCCCCGGGGGACGGGCGCTGCTATTGTTCCCACTTTACAGAGGAAGACACTGAGGCTCGCAAAGGCTGCGTGCTTGCCAAAGGTCACCTGACCGCGGGAAGCAGAATCCGAACCCAGGACCTTAGGACGCAGCACGAAGGGGGGGGCCCCGCGGCGGCTTTGGGTCACTCCCTACCTCCAGACTCTGCCATGACTCCCTACTACCTAGGGGCCTGCTGGGCCGGCTACGCCGAGGGGCCGCGGGGGGGCCGGGGCTTGGACCCGAGGCCGGCCCTTCCGTCCACCCCCGACACGCAGCGGGGCGGGTGCGGGGTTCGAGGCCTCGCGGGGCCTGCGTCTGCGGGGACCGAGGGCGGCGGCGGCGGAGGCGACTGGAGGGGAAGGGGCGCAAGGACACAGACACACGCACACCGAGAAACGCTTACGCCCCCACGCGCGAGCGCACACTCACCCACTCACCACCTACCGGCCCCGGAAAGACGCAAAAAAAATAAATAAAGACGAGCAGAAAATGATCACGCAGCTGAATCGGCGCCTGCCCGCGAGCAGGCCGAAACTACGATTCCCAGAATGCCTCGGGAGAAGGGCGGGGCGAGCGAACACAGACTCCGGTCGTGAAGCTCGCGTGCACATCACGTGGCTCTCCAGGTGAATTCCGGGAAATGGAGTTTCGGCTCAAGAGAAGACCGCGGCCTAAAGGATTCTGGGAAATGTAGTCCGGAAGCTGCTTCTGCGCGGGCTACTTCGCCTCTGAGTTCTGTTTACGTGCCATTTAATGAGGGTCTGATTGTTTACCCTGGGAGGTGCTGAACACTGAGTGTAGAGTAGAAGAAACTATCTTTGCCCTCAACGAACTTACATTCTGTAGGGGAAGACCACGTGCACATTTAAATAGCTGTCAGCCAACAAACATTTATTAAGTGCCTAAGTGTTGCAAGCCCCTCGCTAAGCGCTGGGGACACAAAGAAAGAAGAGAGGGTCCCTGCCCCCTGCAGCTTACGAGCTCGTGGGGAGGCAAAAATACATAGGTACAAACAAGCTGTATACAGGAACAAAAATAATTAACAGGGGGAAGAGGGAGTGGGGAAGGCGTCCTGCAGGAGATGAGCTTTTAGCTGGGATTTGAAGGAAGCCTGGGAGCAGAGAAGGAAGAGGACATCTCAGATCACGAGGAAGATCCGAGGTCCACTTCATTAGAAAGTGCCATGGACCCTTTAATAAAGTGCCGTTGGCTCAGAGCTCTGCCTCAGTTTCTTTTACTGTGATCGGACAATTTAAAGC